TCTATTTTTGATAGTTACCGGTACCTGTTGTACATATTGTGGGTTCACCTCTATTTTTGATAGTTACCTGTTGTACATATTGTGTGTTCACCTCTAATTTTGATAGTTACCTGTTGTACATATTGTGGGTTCACTCCTATTTTTGATAGTTACGGGTACCTGTTGTACATATTGTGGGTTCACCTCTATTTTTGATAGTTACCTGTTGTACATATTGTGTGTTCACCTCTAATTTTGATAGTTACCTGTTGTACATATTGTGGGTTCACTCCTATTTTTGATAGTTACGGGTACCTGTTGTACATATTGTGGGTTCACCTCTATTTTTGATAGTTACTGCTACCTCTTGTACATATTGTGGGTTCGCCTCTATTTTTGATAGTTACCGGTACCTGTTGTACATATTGTGGGTTCACCTCTATTTTTGATAGTTACCTTGTGTACATATTGTGAGTTTAACTCTGTTTTTGATAGTAACCTGTTATACATATTGTGGGTTCACCTCTATTTTTGATAGTTACTGGTACCTCTTGTACATATTGTGGGTTCACCTCTATTTTTGATAGTTACCGGTACCTGTTGCACATATTGTGAGTTTACCTCTATTTTTGATAGTTACCTTTTGTACATATTGTGAGTTTAACTCTATTTTTGATAGTTACCTGTTGTACATATTGTGAGTTTACCTCTATTATTGATAGTTACCGGTACCTGTTGTAAATATTGTGGGTTCACCTCTATTTTTGATAGTTACATGTTGTACATATTGTGGGTTCACCTCTATTTTTGATAGCTACCGGTAATTGTTGTACATATTGTGGGTTCACCTCTATTTTTGATAGTTACCTTTTGTACATATTGTGAGTTTGCCTCTATTTTTGATAGTTACCGGTACCTGTTGTACAGAATGTGGGTTCACCTCTATTTTTGATAGCTACCGGTACCTGTTGTACATATTGTGGGTTCACCTCTATTTTTGATAGTTACCGGTACCTGTTGTACATATTAAGGGTTCACTTCTATTTTTGATAGTTACCTGTTGTTCATATTGTGAGTTTACCTCTATTTTTGATAGTTACATTTTGTACATATTGTGAGTTTACATCTATTTTTGATAGTTATCTGTTGTACATATTGTGGGTTCACTTCTATTTTTGATAGTTACCGGCACCTGTTGTACAGATTGTGGGTTCACCTCTATTTTTGATAGTTACCTGTTGTACATATTGTGGGTTCACTTCTATTTTTGATAGCTACCGGTACCTGTTGTACATATTGTTGGTTCACCTCTATTTTTGATAGTTACTGGTACCTGTTGTACATATTGTGAGTTTACCTTTATTTTTGATAGTTACCGGTACCTTTTGTATATATTGTGAGTTTAACTCTATTTTTGATAGTTACCGGTACGTGTTGTGCATATTGTGAGTTTACCTCTATTTTTGATAGTTACCGGTACTTGTTGTACATTTTGTGGGTTCACCTCTATTTTTGATAGCTACCGGTACCTGTCGTACAGATTGTGGGTTCACCTCTATTTTTGATAGCTACCGGTACCTGCTGTACATACTGTTGGTTCACCTCTATTTTTGATAGTTACTGGGACCTGTTGTACATATTGTGAGTTTAACTCTATTTTTTATAGTTACCGGTACCTGTTGTACATATTGTGAGTTTACCTCTATTTTTGATAGTTACCTGTTGTACATATTGTGAGTTAATTTACCTCTATTTTTGATAGCTACCGGTACCTGTTGTACAGATTGTGGGTTCACCTCTATTTTTGATAGTTACCTGTTGTACATATTGTGAGTATACCTCTATTTTTGATAGTTACCGGTACTTGTTGTACATATTGTGAGTTTACCTCTATTTTTGATAGTTACCGGTACCTGTTGTACATATTGTGAGTTTAACTCTATTTTTGATAGTAACCTGTTGTACATATTGCGGGTTCACCTCTATTTTTGATAGTTACCGGTACCTGTTGTATATATTGTGAGTTTAACTCTATTTTTGATAGTTACCGGTACCTGTTGTACATTTTGTGGGTTCACCTCTATTTTTGATAGTTACCAGTACCTGTTGTACATATTGTGAGTTTACCTTTATTTTTGATAGTTACCGGTACCTTTTGTATATATTGTGAGTTTAACTCTATTATTGATAGTTACCGGTACCTGTTGTACATATTGTGAGTTTACCTCTATTTTTGATTGTTACCGGTACCTGTTGTACATTTTGTGGGTTCACCTCTATTTTTGATAGTTAACGGTACCTGTTGTACATATTGTGGGTTCACCACTATTTTTGATAGTTACCTGTTGTACATATTGCGGGTTCACCTCTATTTTTGATAGTTACCTTTTGTGCAGATTGTGAGTTTACCTCTATTTTTGATAGTTACCTGTTGTACATATTGGGGGTTCACCTCTATTTTTGATAGTTACCGGTACCTGTTGTACATTTTGTGGGTTCACCTCTATTTTTGATAGTTACATGTTGTACATATTGTGGGTTCACCTCTATTTTTGTTAGTTACCTGTTGTACATATTGTGAGTTCACCTCTATTTTTGATAGTTACCTTTTGTACATATTGTGAATTTACCTATATTTTTGATAGTTACCTGTACCTGTTGTACATATTGTGTGTTCACTTCTATTTTTGATAGTTACCGTTTCCTGTTGTACAGATTGTGGGTTCACGTCTATTTTTGATAGTTACATTTTGTACATATTGTGAATTTGCCTCTATTTTTGATAGTTACAGGTACCTGTTGTACATATTGAGAGATTATCTCTATTTTTTATAGTTACCTGTTGTACATATTGTGTGTTCACTTCTATTTTTGATAGTTACCGTCACCTGTTGTACAGATTGTGAGTTTACCTCTATTTTTGATAGCTACCGGTACCTGTTGTACAGATTGTGAGTTTACCTCTATTTTTAATAGTTACCGGTACCTGTTGTACATATTGAGAGATTATCTCTATTTTTGATAGTTACCGTTACCTGTTGTACAGATTGTGGGTTCACCTCTATTTTTGATAGTTACCTGTTGTACATATTGTGAGTTTACCTCTATTTTTGATAGTTACCGGTACCTGTTGTACATATTGTGGGTTCACTTCTAATTTTGATAATTACCTTTTGTACATATTGTGGGTTCACTTCTATTTCCCTATCCATCTCCTTTAATTTCTCATCCAACTGCATACATTTCTGCATCTAGAAGAAAACAAAGATACATGACGAACTGACATTAACACCTGGACTTCTCTCGAATGAAATACATTATAACTAATATTTCTTCATTTTAAAAACCATTTCAATTTCATCTTCAACATTTTTCAAAATAATTTATTTGATTTAACTTTTGATGTAAAATTGGAAACATGTATATGTACTTTCACTTTTAGTAAAGATTTAATATATCACCCATAAAATAGAGCAAATAAACTCGTGGAATTTCTATCGCCCGCTTGCATGACATATTGTAGGTTAACATTATTGAGGTTTAAACATGTGAGTATTGTGCTGTTGAGACATAATTTATAGTTTGAAACTTAAAAAAAAGAAAGCCCTATACCTCATTGATTATCCGTAAATATGCACAAATCACATTGATTGGCAAACTTAGCATGAGTCGGATGTGCATACAGAATTTGGTTGAAACATCTGAACAATATCTACAGCAATTATCACACGAAAACCAAAGAGTGCCCGAGATGGGTGGAAAGACAGAGGAACACAAACATGGTTATCAAGTTTGAAGGAATTTGGCTAATATAGATTTATTAAGCGGAAACTGCAGATAATGACGTTTTTCATTAATCAAGGGGCCATAACTCTGCCAAATGGAGTCCGATTAAAGAGGTTGTCAAAATTGGCCAAGCCCTTAATGCGTTGAACTCTGTTACTAAGTTTGAAGACAATCGGATAATATTTGCGAGAGTAAATGAACAGAAACAGAAAATAATGACATTTTTCGTATTCAAGGGGCCATAACTGCGCCAAATAAAGTCCGCCGAAAGTGATCATCGAACTTGGTGACCCTTCAGAAATTTAACCCTAGGCCTATGACCAAGTTTGAAGAAAATCAGTTAATATTTGTTGTAGTTATTGCATGGAACCAAGCAGGGCAGATAATGACGTTTTTCAATATTCAAGGGGCTCTGCCAAATGGGGTCAGCTGAAAGTGGTCACCGTTTCGGTGAAAGCGGGGGATAATAATTTTAAGTACATGGAATACATTGAACAACATAAGAATTATTGTATTTCAAATCTGCATCAAAAGATCTGTGACAGAACAATACCTCCCAACAATCTTCACATGAGATGCTATAAGGTCCAGTATCACGTTTATATTGATTGATTTAACTGTTATTTTCCATTTAATGCTGCAGATTTTTTTTTTAATCTGACATTGAAGATCTCGTCTCAATATAGAACTATCTGACTAACAGGACCACACATATTTTATGTAACTTAAAATAATTTGTTAATGTGATGTATTGAATTACAAGAGGCCCAAGGGCCTTAGCGGTCACCTGAGTTATATCATAGGTACTGGTAGCTTTATTTTATTGTTTAGATGTGATGTGGAAATCAGCATGTAAACTAAGTGAAATACAATACTTGTCATGTCATCAAAGGATAAGAATTTGAAAATATTGGTAAATGTTCCCTTTGGGGCCCCGCCCTAGCCCCTGGGGATGGGGCAGGAATCCCAATTTTCCAAAGTAATACTCTCATTCACCAAAGATGATTCTGACTAAGTTTGAGTAATTTTCTGCTGAAAATGGATAAAATATATATCCAAAAGTGTTGTTTCCCTATAGGGAGAACGGATAGCTCGGGGGTCCTGAAATTTACAATTTTAAGAAAGCCCCTGATGATCTTTCCATCCATGCAGAGAAAATGACTGTAATACCTCTGAGTCTGGAGAAGAAGATTTTTGAAATATTGGTTAATTTTCCCTTTTGGGCCCCGCCCTGGCCCCTAGGGTTGGGGTAGGAATCCCAATTTTACAATTTGGTAGCCTCATATACCAAGGATGATTCTGACCAAGTTTGAAAAAATTCCATCCACTGGTTCTCGAGAAGAAGTTGATAATGTAAAAGTTTACGCACGACGGACGACAGACGACGACGGACGAAAAGTGATTGGAATAGGCCACTTGAGCAAAGCTCAGGTGACCTAAAAATAATCCTGCTTAAGTGTTATTATCGTAAAAACTATCATAATTGTGAGATTTGTTCAGGTTTTTCTTTTTAGCTAAACAAAAGTTTGAAGTTGGGGGTATGCAAATAACAAAGCCATAGATATTCTGGTTTTTAAAATATTTGTTTTGAATAATCCATTTATCCATATATGTGAGGTATGTGTTGTGACATAGTAGAATTATGTTTTCAGCACCTTAAACTTCTCTGACACCAAACAGTGAAAGAGAATTCCACATTTTCATATAGTAGTGCATTCTGGCCCCACAACAGACATCTATCTGATAAATTGTCTAACTCTTGTGTCAGGGTCGGAGTTAATTTGGGCTAGCATACGTTTTGCTAATCATCTCTCAACCAAGACTGTCAGCCATTTTGTTCTTTTGAGACAAGTGACATAACACTCAAATATTGAGTGACAACACAGCTGGTAGACCTACCTCTTTGTCTATCTATGACAACACAGCTGGTAGACCTACCTCTTTGTCTATCTGTGACCACACAGCTGGTAGACCTACCTCTTTGTCTATATGTGACAACACAGCTGGTAGACCTACCTCTTTGTCTATCTGGGACAACACAGCTGGTAGACCTACCTCTTTGTCTATATGTGACAACACAGCTGGTAGACCTACCTCTTTGCCTATCTTTGACAACACAGCTGGTAGACCTTACCTCTTTGCCTATCTTTGACAACACAGCTGGTAGACCTCCCTCTTTGTCTATCTTTGACAACACAGCTGGTAGACCTACCTCTTTGCCTATCTTTGACAACACAGCTGGTAGACCTCCCTCTTTGTCTATCTTTGACAACACAGCTGATAGACCTACCTCTTTGTCTATCTTTGACAATACAGCTAGTAGACCTACCTCTTTGTCTATCTTTGACAATACAGCTAGTAGACCTACCTCTTTGTCTATCTTTGACAACACAGCTGGTAGACCTACCTCTTTGTCTATCTGTGACAACACAGCAGCACTCTTATACTGTTCTGGGTTGTCATGGAAGCGAACCATGCCATCTTTTTGATTAATTGTAGCATAGATTTCACCATCTTCAATCTGCAAATTAAGTAAACTTATTAAGCCCTTAACTCTATGATACAAGGAGCTTCTAACTTCTTACTAACAGAGAGGCCTTGGGGAATGATATTTGGATATTAGTTATTGAGTGGAGGTCACACAAACGTTTAAACCCATTTGTCCAATGTGATTTTGAAAGTGGGACAAGTTTTGACCAACTTTTTAACCCTTTTATTCCAGCAAGCTACTAGACATATACCGTAACTCTAGGTTGTTCGGTTATGTAGAAGAAGTTGTTTTAAAAACTTTTAAAAGCATTTGACCCTTGTGATCCTGGAAGAGGTTCAAGGTCATACATTTACACAAACTTTATAGCCCTTTATCTCATCATCTTACTGGCCATTGTTTTAACATATTTGACCCTTGTGATCCTGTAAGTGGGTCCAGGTAATTCATTTTGACAAACTTTGGTTGCCCTGGATGGACTTATTACAGATGCTGTACCATAAGCCTACCGGGCCCTTCACATCACAGGGGTCAAACATTAAACTTTAAATATTTTCTTCTCAGTACCAAAATGTAAAGGGTGACTGTAATTGGCAAGTAGCATGCTTGTATAAAAGATTCTTAATTTTTTTCCCAAATACATGACCTTAAACAACTTTCAAGGTCAAAGGGACCGAATGTCTCAAAATCTTTAAACAACCTCTTCTCCATTATCAAAGGCCCAGGTTGATGATATTTGGCAAGCAGTATGTCTGGATTGAGAGTTACCTAGAATGTTCAAATGTGTTAAAATCTTTTAACAGGTTCTCCTAAATGACCAAAATTCCAAGGTAATGATACGGGGCTAATAGCATTATTTAGTCCTTTTTTGCATTCATAGGTGTCGACCTCTTAAACCTCCAATGAGGGAAATCTCCCTCATTCCATATCTCAAACAAGAGGCCCAATGGGCCTGCATCGCTCACCTGGTATTAATCTCACAATTGTAACCTTAAAAGAGGACTAAAATAAAGCTACAGAAAAAAAATAAGCATCTTGACTTAAAGTTTAAAGTAATTCAGAAACAAGAGACCCAGAGGGCCTGTATCGCTCACCTGAATATGTTTAAAACAAGAGGCCCAAGAGGGCCTGTATCGCTCACCTGAATATTTAAGCAGTCATAGCAAAATATTCTCTTTAAATATTATATTGCACTAAAAATATTTCCCTCACAAACTTTGTTGGCTCCATCTGTTGAAATTACCAGCAAAATATTATTATAAGATTCTATGCTTTTTGATTCTTCTTCAGAAGTTGCTTGACATATTTTTCCCTGTGATCTTGTAAGTAGGTCAATGTCATTTTCCTTCTCAAATTGGTTAGCTCTATTCCAAAAAGCTACCAGCCAAATCTTATGAATCCATTCCTTTTAGTTCTCAAGAACAAATCCATTAAAATGTTGTTGACCTCTGTGACCTCTAAAGTAGGTTGAGGTCATTTTCATTTGCAAACTTTGGTGAGCTCTATCCCGGGAAGTCACCAGCCAAATATTATAATTTTATGCCTTTTAATTCTTCAGAAGAAGCTGTTTGAACTGTTTGACATATTTGAACGCTGTGACCTTGAAAGTAGGTCAAGGTCATTTTCATTCGCAAACTTTGTTTGGCTCTTTCCCAGGAAGCCACCTGCCAAATATTAAGATTTTATAACTACCAGTTCTTCAGAAGAAGTCGTTTAAAGTGTT